TGGGTTGTTATGATCGCCTAATATCGCCTAATGCCTGATATCGCCTCTAATATCGCGCAATATTGCGCAATATTGCGCAATATATCGCGCAATATCGCGCACCCTCGCGCACCCTCGCGCACCCCCTCGCCCCGGCGGCGGACCGCGGCCGCGGATTTCTTTGTTTTCGGCGGAGACCATCTAAAGCTGGCGGCGCAGCCGGCGCGCCTGCGGCGCGCCGTGGTTTCTAAATTTTCGCGACGTCGCGGAAGTAGAGCGTGCCGTCCGCGAAGCGTACGCCTGACTCGCGCGCTCTCGTTCCGACCTGGACGTCGAGCACGGCCGCGTATCCACGAGTAATCGTCATCCTCAAGCCGTTCATCGTCGGGTGATGGGTGAGGGTCCACGTGCCGAGAAAGGCGTCGTCGGAGTCCGACGCCATGACCACAGACTCATTATACTACACAAAATAAAGAGAACCGCGTTTTCCCGCTTGAAATAAAGAAAACACACTCCGGCCGGCCGGTGCAACAAGTATGTGCCAGCCCGCGTCAGCGCCGCGCGCCGCAAGCCGCCGCCTCTGCGCCGCCTCCGTGCAAGCATTCGGAAGGCCGCCAGGGATGGCCAAGTGGGAGCGGTGCTGGCGTGGCTCGACGGCGGCGGGCGGGTCGACGAGACGTTCGTACGGAGCGGATGGGCCAGCAAAGAGCAAGAAAAAAGAAAAAGAAAAGCGGTGCGTGCAATCGTGTGTTTGGCGTCATGTCGTGTGTGCCTTCGCTTGTTCCTTTTCACAACGAAGTCTGCTCAAAAAGAAAAGCAAACGACCGTCCGCAACCCCGCCCGTTTGCACCGCCCGTTTGCATGCCCGGCCGAGCGAAGGCTGGCTCGGCCGCCTCCCGGCGCGGGCACGCTTCTACGGCGGCTACTGCTGCGCCGCTCGCGCTGCCGAAAAGGATCGAGGCGGCGGCGGCGGACGGCAAGGTGGGCGTGGTGCAGACGTGGCTCACCGGGGATGGGCGGGTTGATGCGACGTGCGTGCGTCGCGGTGTCAGTGGCTGTACGCTCCTGCTGATCGCCGCCGAACACGGTCACAAGCAGCTCGTTGAAGTGCTGCTGAAGCGCGGCGCGGAGGCGGACGCGCGAGACAGCGAAGGCAGTTTTTCGCTGATGGCCGCCGCCGCCAACGGCCACGAGCGCGTGGCCGAGATGCTGCTGCGGCACGGCGCGGAGACCAACCTGCAGAGCAGCGAAGGAGGCACCGCTCTGATGCTCGCCGCCCTCGGCAACCATCCCGCCGTGGTGCTTCGCTTGCTGCGGGCGGGCGCGGACATGGCGCTGCGCACTGCGGCGGGCGAGACGGCGCTGCAACTCGCCAAGGAGGAGGGCCACGCCGAGTGCGTCGAGGCATTCAGGACGTATCTCGGCGAGGTGACGACGGGCCGGCGCGAGGCGCCATCGGCCGAGGCGGGCGGCGCAGGGGCGGGCGGCGCACCCGCAGGCGAGGCGGCGGCGGGCGCCAGTGCCGTGGTCTCTGCCTCGAGCGGCGAGGGCGCGGAGGCCGCGCCGGGCAGCGAGGCGGTGCCAGAGGAGGTTGTGGACGCGGCTGAGGATGGCGATGAGGAGCCGGTGCTGGCGTGGCTCGACGGCGGCGGGCGGGTCGACGCGAC